CTGAACTGAGACGTAGTCCTTCACTGCTGGCCGGATGAGGAAGCTCAAGGTCGCTCAGCGAGCTATGGAGAGGGCTATGCTCGGAGTTTCTCTGCGTGATAAACTCAGAAATGAGGATATCCGCAGTAGAACTAGAGTGACCGACATAGCCCAACGGATTAGTATGCTGAAGTGGCAATGGGCCGGCCATATAGCTTGAAGAACCGACAACCGATGGGGAAGAAAGGTTCTCGAGTGGCGGCCTCGTACCGGCAGGCGAAATGTTTCGCATCCCCCCACTAGATGGAGTGACGACCTGGTAAGGTATGCAGGAAGTCGATGGATGCAGGTGACTCAGGACCGTGCTTTCTGGCATTCTTTGGGGGAGACCTATGTTCAGCAGTGGACTTGTGAAGGGCTGTAATGATGATGATGTGCGATAGTGCAATGGAGCGGCTGGAATCAGTCCGAACAATTCCTCAGAGCACTCCCCGTGATAGATGCGATAAAATACGCAAAGAGATGCAACATCTCTACACAGTTCTAGTGAGTCAAGCCGATCGGAAAGAACTCGGTCGTCGATGATTCGAAACATTCTGCACTGGATGCGATCAAGTGGAAGGAGCTGGCACTGGGAAGTCCCTGCTCAGAGATGGGAACAGTATTCCATGTCAGGCCGTACCTGCGCCTTGTAAAGTTGCAAGCGATGTGCAGAAATGAAATACTGTCTCGCTCTGCTGAGCACGCCTAGCTTTTTATCGATATGTCGACACCGAGAATTCCGATACTGGCTGAGACAACAAGGGGAGTGCCTTGAAACTGAGCAGGTACTACAAAAGGGCTTTTTTAGCGGTAAACGCGCAAAATTATGTGTTCTGGGGATTTAAATGGACTAGAATAAGTCGCCCGACGATTGAGACTTTGTTCAACGAAGTCTCCACTTCTGACACAAGTTTGTTCCGGTACTCGGCGACGTTTTCCCGAGAAATATTGGCACGGCCGATGTATAAAGCATCACTTGTGCTGTCGTCTGCATAGCAATGAATGTTTCCAGTTTGAAAAATATCATTGATATTGTAACCCCCCCCCCTCTTCTATACATGTACTTGTACTTGTGTTTCTTTAGAATCTATATCCATAAGATATATAAATATATCTGATTTACGTGACCAGTATATTATAATCATACATTGATCTTTCTAAAGGTTCAAATATTGAAATGCAGTGTTGGGCGTGCAGTAAAAACAGAAATATCTTGAAAACACTCTTTATTTAATTTAATTAATTTTGCGTGCGCGTCTTTACAAGTGTTCTTTCCTCCATCTTCATTTCTTTTTACTTACTCACTCACTATCATTCTTTTACTCATTCGTCATTCGCTCCGTTCCTTCCAGATCAGTTCATTACGCTGCGTTCCATCCCACATTCGGCCGTCCTGATCTCATGCCTGTCCTCAGACATCCATGCCACTTTCACTCCTAAATCTTCTCTGTTTCTGTTATACTGTTTAACCTCGTGAAGAGTGTAAAATTTGTATTATTTCCAAATCTTCCTTTTGTCTCAACTTTGTACCAATCATTAGTGTAAATGGAGTTGTATCAATGCTCTTATGGTACGTGCTGTTCAATGCTCTCTGTAATCGACTTACATGCTTATACCATAAGGAAGGGTCTTCAATGCATAACTTTGTCAAAACTGAGATGATCGTGCGATGCACACGTTCTACCTGTCCATTTCCACGTGGTACTCCGGTTGTTATAGTGATATGTTGTATACCTTCTGTCTCGTAAAACTCTCGAGAATCATTTCCTGTAAATGCGGTACCTTTGTCAGTTATTATTCTGTCTGGGTAGCCAAAATGTTGTTGAAAAATCTTTAATTTGTCCAATGTTTCCTTACTGGTTGTGGACTTTGTTGGAAATATCCATGTAAACTTGGTGAAGGCATCAACCATTGTCAAAATGTAATTATACTGTTTTTTAGTTTCCGTTAGAGGCCCAATATGGTCGATATGCATAGTATGTAATGGCATACTGTCTTTTTCTGTAGGGTGTAAAAATCTTTCTTGTTTTCCAGATTTTCTTGTTTCCAGTAAGCATGGTATGCATGTTGTCATGAAGTCTTGTAATTTCTCATCCAACTGATTGATGTAATATCTGTTACTTATGATTTCTTTCATTTTCTTGTATGAAAAATGAACAATACCATGAGTTCTTTTTATTATTTCTTTTTCCAAAGTTTTTGATATTAGCAATTGTTTCAATTCTTCTTTATACAGCAAATCATTTTCGATGCAATAATCTTGGTAAAAACCATTCTTCAATATTTCTTTGATAGCTTTGAGGCCTTCATCTTGGTCTTGCAATTGTCTGATCTGTTGATGCATATCGGTGATCAACATCACTGTAGGACAATCACGGCTGAGTGCGTCTGTATGTTTCATCTTTGAACCTGCTCGGTGCTCCACAGTGAAATCAAATTGGTCTAAAGATAGTACCCATCTCGCTACTTTAGCTGACAAATCTATTTTCCTCAATGTTTGTTCAAATGCTCGGCAATCTGTAATGATTTTAAACTTAATTCCATGCAAATAATGTCTAAACTTCTTTACACCTTCAATAATAGCTAGTGCCTCCAATTCGTAACTTGAATACTTTCTTTCCACATCATTGGTCTTTCGACTCATGTAGTAAACTGGATGCCATCCGTCATGATGAAATAGTAATAATATTGCTGCATACGCTAAACTTGAAGCATCAGTGTGTAATTTTGTAGACAAACTACTATTAAAAATCTTTTATACTGGATTACTAGATAATTTATACTTTAAGATATTAAACGCTTTACTTTGGTCTTCACCAAAACAAAAAGGAGTATCTTTTTGAGCAAATCTGTCAATGGCTGTGCAGTCAATGCATAGTTCTCTATATATTTTCGAAATTATGAGGTTAAACCAACAAACCTTTGTATTTGCTCGACATTACAGGGCTCGAGATACCTCACTACTGCATCAGTCTTTTCTGGGCTAGGTTTTACCTCTCCATTCTTGACAACATGTCCCAAATATTCTATTTCCTTCTGGACATGTTTAACTTTCTTCCAATTTATCTCCAGTCCATATTCAGATGCCACTTCAAGCACCATTTGCAAGCGTTGTACTGCCTGGCTTTCATCGCTAGCTGGAATCAAAATATCGTCGATAAAGATCAGAATAATCCTCTTATTTATTAAATCTCTGAAAATAATTGAGACAAATCGCATGAAATTCTTTGGACTAACTGAGAGTCCAAAGGGGGCTCTTGAGAATTCAAACTGGCCATGATGCGTTACGAAGGAAGTATAGGGTATAGATTCCTCGCTTACTTTTAAATGCAAAAATACATTTTTCAAATCTAAAATACTGAAGAATTTAGAGTCTTTCAATTTATCAATTAAATCCTCTATAATAGGCAAGGGAAACTCATCTTTATCAATTTTTTTTAATTAATTCCCGGTAATCTACACCAACCCTAGTTGTCCCATCTTTTTTTGCACTAGAACCACTGGACTAGAATACTCAGAGAAACTCACCCGGATAATCTTCTTATCTAGCCATTCAGATACTTGTTTTTCAACTATTTCTTGCTCTTTTAAAGATAATCTTCGGGGTCGATGCGTCACTGGGATGTAGTCTTCCAGTACTATTTTTAACTGTATGGGAGCTTCCTTTTTCTGTGCTAGTTGTCCATATTCATAGATTAACTGATGCACTTGTTTCTTCAACTCAGGATCTGTCATGGGACCTACAGAAAAGCATGGTCACACTTATCAACAGTCATACATTTCATCCACTCGTCATCTTTCAAATAAAACCTCACTGCACCATCTTTCATTAACATAATAACACCTTTCAGAAAATCATGACCTATAATTACATCATACGGTACATAGTCGCTACTAATAATGTGGAAGACACCATCGAAATATTGATCATCAGCAATAAATTGTAAATAACACTTTCCTAATGATTTAATCTTATACTGTCCAATCCCTGATAAAATAGTATTGTCATTTTCCGCTTTTGGCTGACCTAATGCCTCGTAACACTCTGATGAAATAATGTTAACGTCACTGCCTGAGTCGACTAATGCTTTAACCTTAAGATTGCACACCATTATCATTTTCACTGGTTTTAACGTATCCGTATATATGGAACAGACACAAGCTAGTAGTACCAGTTACTCGACTCCATCGAGTCAGTAATTCATTCTTGGGGCGATGTATACGCTTTTACAACAAAATTCCAGAAAATATACAAAGTTTGACCTGTTCAAAGTTCAAAAACTTTATTAAACTAAGTTTGTATAAAAAAGGTTATTATAATATTAAGGAATTTATGGATGATAATAACCCCCGGAAATGAGGTGATCGCTACCAAGCTATTTCTAATTTGTTGTGTCGTTAATTTGTGTAACATCATGATTGTAAGCTGTTATTTAAAAAAAAAGTCCCGCTGGGTTTCTTGCTGGTTCTTCCCAGGACAGAGGTTTTTTCCGAACCAGTGATAATCAAACAAAAAAGTGACTTTCAATAAGTATTATTTATAATCTATATTGAATAAAAAGGTTTCTGTTTCTGTTTCCGTTTTGTCGGTGCAGGTATTGTTTACAATCTGCATAACCACTCCGTTGTTGTTTTCCGAGTTTGACGTTGACGCTGCTGTCAGATGTGGGCCGTCATGGCTGCCAACATAGCCATCACACGACGAATGATCATTCACTTCCTGCGAATGAGTTGTTGATTCTTCCGTTGACTTCATCGATCGTCCGAACATAATGCGCTTCAACTTCAGGTTGTTACTTTGCTGCTGCCTTCGTTCTTTCTCGGGTTCCGTCGCCGGATACCGAGTTTTGCCGAAAGTCGCCGAGTGAAATCGGCTTCCGCCGCTTCGTCTATGCTCGGGCGTTGTTGTTTCGTTTTGAACTAGAATGATTGAATGATGCATCGGAAATGACGTAGCAATATGGCCGAACTGGTTGCATTTAAAACACTAATCCCTTTTCTTTATATGGGCAAAATGCAGACGTATGATTCATCTCGCCACAGCTAAAACAGCGATTCTTTTCAGATGTTTTTTGTCTGGGACTGCGCGCCTCCGATCGACGACGTTGTTCCATTTTACTCCTTACAGTTTCGTAAATACGTAGCTTTTCTTTTAATTCTGCGTACGTAGTAACACCATATAGCATTATCTTATTTGTCTCCAGATCCCGTATCCCATCGACAATATATTTAATAGCCACGTAATCTGGCATTTTCCCTCTCTTTCCCAACTCTTTCATAGGCAGCATATAATCCAAACAGCTCTCATTGTCTTTCTTCTTGCGTGTGCTCATCGTTTCGTGTATGGTTTTGATGTCGACAGAATCAGGAAATTCTTTCAATACTGCAGCTTTTAGGTCATCCCACGACTTAAACGGTCGTTCCGCACGGAGCCAAAGCGCTGCCGTGCCGGTCAACGAGCGCCTCGCCACTAATAATTGCTGTAGTGGAGTCCAGCCGAATATTTGAGCATTATCTTCAATTTTCTGCGCCCATTGTGCCGCTGTGAATGTACCGTCTTGTCCTGAGTAGTTTGGTATGAGCTCCGAAGTCATTTGTAGCATGTTGACGCGAAAGTCAGCTTGTGCGCCGATGCTATCTTCGAAATCATCCTGGCGATTTTTTCTGCGCTCTTCTCCGTCTTTGCTCATCTTGGTGTAGGTACTCGTCTTTGTTTCGTCTTCTTGTAATAACTTCACCAAAATGCCGCCCCGACTTTGCCCCTGCCGCGTGCCGCCAGCCGCCGGATAATTCGCATAAAACTCGCACACTGTCTTCTGAGGGATTTTACTGCACAAATCCCGGAGGGGCCCCCAAAAATGTAGTGCTGGGTGTGCAGTGAAAACAGAAATACCTTGAAAACACTCTTTGTTTAATTTAATTAATTTTGCGTGCGCGTCTTTACAAGCGTCCTTTCCTCCATCTTTTTTCTCTTTTTTTTCACTTACTCACTCACTATCATTCTTTTACTCATTCGTCATTCGCTCCGTTCCTTCCAGATCACTTCATTACGCTGCGTTCCATCCCACAGATATATACTTCACAAAAATAAGAGGAGGCCTGTGCCCAGGAGTGGGATGTATATAGAAGTAGGTATAGCAATTACCTTTTGCCCAAATATAACCACTCTGAAATCTATATCCGGTCTACTGTTTCCACGCGCGCTAAGATAATGGTACTTGTGGCGATGGCAGCTTTATATCGCCCTGATGGACGTGTCTGGACTGAAAATATCGACTGGGTTTCAGTACCGTACACCACAGTACCAATGCGTTATGACTTTGTAAGTTAATTCAAATAAATTATTTAATAATTTCTTATATTTACGCGTACACTACACATTGAATAAAACTACTTTTACAAATTCTATCGCATTTAATTAACTTATTTTTAAATTTTCGACGTTTTGGGTGCTTCACAGCACCAATCACGTCACGGGTCACGGGAGCCTGTGGTGACTGACGTCCCAATGTCATAGTTAACACGCAGTACCTTCAGCTTTTTTAATTATTTGTTTTGTTCCAAACTACGTTGAATGAACTTACTGTGTCTTGAAGTCTTGCAGTGGTATGCTTAGGTTTAGTTTTAATTTTATTGATTACAGGATTCCAAGCAGGTGATATTACCCAGCCTCCCTCTCTATTAAAATTAGGATGTTTTTTTAATTTCAATAGCCTTAAGTATCATCCTTGGCAGAAACAGAAACAGAAACTTTTTTATTCAATAAAGATTATAAATAATACTTATTGAAAGTCACTTTTGTATTATTACCACTGATTCGAAAAAAAACCTCTGTCCTGGGAAGAACCAGCAAGAAACTCAGCAGGACTTTTTTTTACAGCTTACAATCGTGTCTGTTACACAAATTAACAATACAACAAATTAAAAATAGCTTGGTAGCGATCACCTCATTTCCAGGGGTTATTATCATCTATAAATTCTTTAATATTATAATAACCCTTCTTATACAAACTTAGTGTAAAAAAGTTTTCAAACTTTGAGCAGGTCAAATTTTGTATATTTTCTGGAATTTTGTTGTAAAAGCGTATACATCGCCCCAAGAATAAATTACTGACTCGATGGAGTCGAGTAACTGGTACTACTAGCTTGTGTCTGTTCCTAGTATTTACAGAATGAATATCACTTATTTTTGTAAAACTACTTTTAATTTTGTGTAAGTTTTTTTTATATGATAAGAGTGACATACGAGCACACAGTCCACCTGATGGTAAGTGGTTGCTGCGGCCCATAGACATCTACATCTACCCTCCATTACAAATCAAAATGCAGATGCGTTGTCACCCGTGAGGACTAAGATGGAATGCCTCATTTCCAGTAAAAAAGGCCTCCGGCCACCTGCACTCACCAAGCGAAACGCAGAGGTAAACCTCTATATCACGCTGGTATTCTGTGAGGTCGTGGTACCACCCCGGTTCGAGCCGGCCCATCCGTGCGATAGCAAAAGCTGCCGTGTACCACTGTTAAAATACAAAAAAAAAAAAAAAAATACATTAAATTTTCATAAATGTATTGAGAAGCCAAAGTTAATATATTAATTTCCTTAAATTTTTGTCGCAGCGACTCTTTAGACTTTAAATCATAAATTGCTCTTATGGCTCTCTTCTGTAAAACAAATATAATTTCAGTGTCAGCTGCGTGTCCTCATAGCAAAATACCATACGAAATTATGCTATGGAAATAGCTAAAGTAAACTAGCCTAGCTGTTTCAACACTGGTAAGACTTCTAATCCTTTTTACAGCATATGCTGCAGAACTAAGTCTGCTTGCTAGTTTTGATATATGGGGGCTCCATTGAAGCTTCGCGTCTAGTGTGATTCCAAGAAAAATGGTGGTGTCTACAACACTTAGTTTCTCCCCATTTAAATTACATTAGTATTTAATTGTTTGACATTTGGAGTCATGAATTTCATACATTTCGTTTTAGTGCCATTTAAATGCAAATTATTAACATTGAACCAATTTACTAATTTAGATATAGCATTATTTACTTCGTCATATTTTAGCAAAATTAAAATTAAAGAAGTGTCATCTGCAAATAATACTATATCATGGTTATCTCCTACTATGTAAGGTAAGTCATTAATGTATACAAGAAACAGAAAGGGGCCGAGAATTGAGCCTTGAGGCACGCCCATTTGTACCATCGACCCGTAAGAACTCATACTGTTAATGACATCTTTTTGCGTTCGCTTACTTAAATATGAAATAATTAAATTAAGAGCATCACTTCTTTCACCGTCGTGTTGAAGTTTCCTGATTAATGTTTCATGGTGAACACAATCTAAGGCAATTGACAATTTTGATAGGTAAAATAATATACCCAAAGCATCCTGTGAATTCTCTCATGCATTAAAGATATATTTAATCAGCTCAACACCGGCATCAGTTGTCGAGCGACCCCTTGTGAAACCAAATTAATTTTTATGAAGTAAATTATTTATATTAAAGAAATTTAACAATTGATGAAGAATAATTTTTTCAAAAACATTACTAAGTGTTGGTGGTATAGAGATAGGTCTAAAATTGGCGGGGTCTAGTGTACTACCAGATTTAAATAAAGGTATAACTTTACTATACTTCATTAAATCAGGAAACACACCAGATTCGATACTAGTATTAAAAATAATAGCTAAATGAGGCGCGATTGTATCTATTATAGACGCAATAACTTTGACAGAAATCCCCCACAGATACACAGTTTTCTTAACATCAATAGTTTTAAAATATTTTACAATTTCGCGAGAATTTGGTTGATCAAATCTAATGTAATGGCGCGGGCTGTCTAGGATATGACCACAAACTGCAGACTTCCTGGAACTTTGGCGTTTCACGTCAGCGCTCGAAACTCGAAAATAAGTTAATTTAACGCGACAGAATTCATAAAATTAGTTTCAATTTGTTATTTAAATTTACTTATTAATTTAACATGGTAGACTTGTTATTGCTCGTCGTAAATTCTACAGTACGTTAGTATTTCTTTAATAGAATAAATGTTTGTCACTGTGGAGGACACTGTCGACCATATCGTCTGGTGTATCAGTGAATGGTTTAGTCCATGATATTGATCCTCGATTAAGAATAAAGTGCAAATGCGTTGCTCTTTTAAGCTGGCATTTTATGAGAAAGAGCCCTCCTGGTCGAGCTGATCCATTCGCTCTATAACCATAATATAGCTGCAGCGTGACGTATGTTCAGCAGTCAGACTACAAAATTAAAATTTTACCACATGAAAAAATTCATGTGAAGGATATCATTGTGAGGAAACCTGCATGTCTGAGGGATAAAATATATTTTGAACGCATGTTAACTCCATCCAATACTCCATATCATCAAGGAGGTTGTAAAAAAAAGGACAGAGGTAAACTTAAACAGGTGATGGTCAGTAGCATCTTCCTGATAGCAATTCAAACTTGTAAAAACTTCGGTTGCCGACCCGCCTGTCAAGCGTGACAACTATGTAAATATTCCCCCTAGAAGGCAGTGTATGGAAGAGGCAGGTGTACAGAAATGGACTTTTATAGCTGATCAAGAGGAAAAAGAAGTGACAAGCAACGCAAATGCGTCACCGACTACAGGTAGTCTCTTTGTATGACGTTGTATTGGCTGCGTTAGCCACTAACAATCAGGTAAACTAATCATTAGTTTGTCACTATAATTTGTCACTCTACACTCGTATTACATACGCTGATGACATTTCGGTTATAGTTAGGACTAAAAAAAATAAGAATTCAATATATAATCACGAATTGGACATAAATAATACAATTGATAATATAATTGAATGGCTACAAGCTCACAATTTAAAAATTAACTTGACAAAATCAAATTTTATTCAGTTTAATAAGTCAAAACATAACCAATACAATTTCAAGCTAAACATTACAAAAATCAATCAAATAGAAAAAACAAAATTTTTAGGTGTTGTCATAGACCAGAATCTGAACTGGAAAGCACATATCGATGAAGTTTGTAATAAAGTAAACAAATGTTGTTACGCGCTCAACCAAATAAAAAAAGTGACTGACATAAAAACATCTGTTATGACTTACCGAGCATATGCCGAGTCTATACTCCGTTATGTCCATAACGGAGTATAGACTCGGTGATGTGGGGAAATAGTTCGGATTGGAATCGGGCTTTTATTGCGCAGAAAAAATGCATTAGGGCAATCTGCGGAGTACGACCTGATGAATCGTGTCAGCCCCTATTTAAAGGTCTTGGAATACTGCCACTACCAACGATATATATTTTAGAAGTTTGTGTTTTTGTGCAGAGACACAAACAATTATTTGAAAAAGCTTGTGAGGTACAGACTACTCGCTCACGTAGGGACCCACACAAGCTAGTACTTAAGGATATACCTAAATCACAAAAATATGGCAAAAGTTGCCTTACCATGTGTGTCCGAATATATAACAAGCTCCCTGACGAACTTAAAACCCTAAATATTACATTGTTCAAAAAGAAATTGTACAAATGGCTGAATGAAAATAATTTCTATAGTGTAAAACAATTCTTAGAAAAAAATTAGATTATGTACTGGATAACATTTATTTAAAAAAATTCATTTAATTATTGTAATAAATATAAAATAATAAAATATAGTACTGTACAATATATCTTTGATCAA